CCCCCTGGGACCCCGGGAGCCCAGCCGGTCACCACGCCCTGCCCGTGCGGTGGGACTGCGGTCGGGTGCCCGTCCACAGTGGGGCCCCTGCCGGGACGTGAGCGTCCGGGCTCCACGTCCTCCTCCGCGCGTGCCAGCCCGTGTCTCTCGTTCCTGCAGTACGTCCCCGAGGATCTCCTGCCTGTTTACAAGGACAAGGTGGTGCCGGTGGCAGACATCATTACTCCCAACCAGTTCGAGGCTGAGTGAGTAGCTGGAAACGGCTCACGCTGGCAGGACCCCGCCCCCCGGGGAGAGTGCCAGGTCGCGCAGGGAGCGCCCCACGTGCCCCCCGGGGCCTGCCTCGGGGCGCAGAAGCCTGGCAGCGGGGTGGGGACGGGCTGTCCTGTGTGACGAGCGCGCTGGCCCGCCCTGGCTTCAGTCAGCGACAGCGGTAGGGGTTACCTCGCCCCGACTCCCCGCTGCAATAGTGCTGACCCCCTCGCCGTTCTCGTAAACGGCAGGGGCCTTGGGGACAGGAAGGGGAAGAGGCGCCTGGCACATGGCTGACGCAGGCCACGGGGCGGATGGTCCACACCAGCTGACGCAGGCAGCCACCTCGGAGCTCCGAGGCCCACACCCCAATCCCTGTGTGAGGCTCAGGGAGCGGCCAGCCCCGCTGCCCAGTCTCGAGTCCAGGGGCTGTCCTTGGACTGCACGGCCCCTCCCGACGGGTGGAAGAACCGGGCACCCAGCGTGTGAGGGGCTCCCGGGCGCCGTGGGCGGGCGGCCGAGCACCAAGCGGGTTTGTCTCCGTCACGGTTCGGCTCTGCTGGACCATCAGCTATGTCCCCCCAGTCTCCAAGGCCACTCTTCGAGGTAGGGGTGGGGCCCGGGGTTCTCTGACCCGGGCCTATCCTTCCGGGTAGTGATGGGTCACCCCGAGGACCTTGACCTTTGTTGGGCTTGTGGACACAGTACAGTAGCCATTTGCAGCTCCGACTTCCCGTGGACCTGGGTCGCCCTTGCTGGCCCCGGGTGTCCTGGCGTAGGCTGCTGTCCGTCACTGTTGTTACGTGTGCGCATTAAGGGCAGTCTGGAATTCACACCCTGTGATGCGTGAGCATCCCCATGTGTAACTCAAGTTTACCCCTGACGGCTCCCCAGACGTCACGGTGGTACCTGGTCCGTGATGGCCCATGATGGTGTCGGGCTCGGAGTTAGTTCCCTATGGGAACCCCAAGTCGGGAATTGGGCGTGGGGGTGGGGAGGAGAGGGACAGTGTCACTGTAGCTTTGGGACCGTTATTGGCAGGACCCAGGAAGTGACGTCTCACCTGTGCCCACCTGTCTTCCAGGTTACTGAGTGGCAGAAAGATCCGCACCCAGGAGGAAGCATTAGCGGTAAGGAGACCTTCCGGGGCTCGACGTGGCACAGGTGGCACCACTTACGTGGGGGAGAGGGCAGCCGCACGCCCACAGGGGGGCAGACAGGCGCCCTGAGTGGCCAGCGTCCCAGCCTCTGGTGTGCCAGCCCGGAGAGGAGGAGCAGGGGATGCGTTGTGAATTTCATTCTGGCCACTTGACTGGTCACCCGCAGCTTCGTGCGTGTCAGGTCCTGGTTAACCCACTGCCCGCTCCGCTCCTACCAGCAGCCCCTGCCTGAGCTAACTGGGGCAGCCGTGACCCAGTCCCACGGAGGGGGCGGGCGGGGACCCTCCTCCCGCTCTGAGGGCCTTTCTCGGAGCTGGCACAGCACGGGGGCCTCCTCGCCAGGTGACCACAGGGTGGGAGGAAATGGCCGTGGGTGCAGCCACCCCCGGCCGTGAGACTAGAAGACTTTCACATAAGCGCCCGGCTGTGCCTGGCGCAGGGTGGGCTCTGGGTGGGCTCAGGGTGGGCTCTGGGTGGGCGGCTCGCCCCGTGTGTGTGTGGTGCGTGGGGGGGGTACACATCTCCCACACTCAGCTCTGAGCGGAGGGCGTTGCTTGTGACCACAGGCCTTGTTCTGAGGTGGCCGCACAGGGCGACAGGCCCTCATGCCCCTTAGAGAGGAACCAGCTTAAAGAGGGGTCATTGCCATGTGACCCTGTGGCCTGTTCTGTCCCCGCAAAGGTCTGGGCTGAGAGGGGAGGGACGCGGCCACCAGAAACTCCGAGCCAGGGTCAGCACGGGGGCCCTCCCAGGGTGACCCCCCAGGAGGGCCGCGCTGGCCCCGAGGAGGGCGGGTGAGGGTGATGCACCCCCACCTCCCGCTCCGCCCTCTCCAGGCCTGGCCCCCTGCCGTGGTCTAGCTGACGCTATGCCGGGCCCGAGTTGTCCCCAGTGGGTATTTTGTCACAAGACATGGAGCCTCCAGCCCCTGGTGTGTTCTGGGCACATGGCGACAGGTGTTCGCTGAGTGAATAAGCGAGTGAGCGAGCAAGTGGCTTCCCAGACTGGGTGGGAGGCGGGAGCCGTTGTTGCTTGGTGGCTGCTAGGTGTGGAGCCCAGACGAGGAAGGACAGCCAGCCCAGCCTGGGTGACACCTTCCGCCAGTGTTCGGGTACAGATGGGAGCCAGCAGGCACTCGCCCTCAGACTTCAAGCCGGAGGGAACGGGGATGGCACCTCTAAGCCAGCAAAACTGTCAGTGGGCAGAGCTGTCGCTGCATGGGCACGGCCGGTCAGGGCCAGTTCCCGAGTCCTCGGCCTCCGTGGTCTCCCCCTCATCGAGCCAGACCCCGTGAGAGCACGTCGGAGGCTTGAGAGCCAGTCGTCCCTGGCTGTGTGGGCTCGGGGGCGAGGGGCAGGGGCGACGGGGTGCGGCTGACGTCCCCCGGTTCCCGGCAGGTCATGGACATGCTGCATGCCATGGGCCCTGACACCGTGGTCATCACCAGCTCCGACCTGCCCTCCCCACGGGGCGGCGACTATCTGATCGCACTGGGGAGCCAGAGGACGCGTGACCCCCGCCCCGCCCCGCCCCCGCCCCGGGCCTTCCGCTCCCTCCGCAGGGCCCTCGAAGCTCCTGAGAAAGTTTTCGGTTCAGTCGGAGAGTCGCGCCTTACTCAGCAAGCGGCCACATTCCTGAGCTCTTGCCACAGCCACCCCCCACCCCCGCCCCAAGAATGGTGAGGCTGAAAGCACTCGGGAAGTATTTCCACGAATCGGGGTGCAGCGGAGCACGGGGTGCACTCTCGATGCCCGTGGCGGTGCTGGTGGCATGAGGAGACACCCGTCTTATGTGTTGGGGGCGCGAGGAGCAGCCTGGCTGGAGGCCGGCTCCCGGGAACCAGGTGTCCCCATGCCTCAGCTCCTGCGGAGCCGGGACCCGGCTGGCTGCCCACCCAGGGTCTCGTTAAATCACGCAGATGCCACCTGGGCTGGTGTTAACACGACACCGGAGGCCGGGGTCACCCCCGCGGCCCCAGAGAGCAGCCCCACAGACGCCTTCTCCCTGTGCACGCACACACACACGCGCACGCTCACAGCCGCAGACACACTCGCACACACACGCCCGCTTCAGCGGGCTCACAGCCCCTGCTGTGGGGACCCTCGTCACATTGTCACACCATCACGTCACGTGGGCTGGACCCTCGTCAGCCACGCCGTCCCCTCCAGGCCGTCCTTGCTGGCCCTCCGGGCCTTCGGTATTTTTTTCTTCCCCTGGGATGGCACAGCGCCATGGGGCGTTGGGTGCACCGGGCAGGCCCTGAGGCCCGGGTTCTGTCAGAGTGAGCCCCCATGGGTGACATCAGCGCTCCAGGTGCAGTGCAGGGGAGGGCTAGGGCAGAGGCGGGCAGGCTGGTGCCCAGGCCTGGGAGGGCCCTCTGCTGGCCAAGGGCCTGGGGTCCCAGCCAGCCCTGCCCCCGCCAGGCCACCCCGACGGCTCCGTGGTGACAGAGCGCATCCGCATGGAGATGCTCAAGGTGGACGCCGTCTTCGTGGGCACTGGGGACCTCTTCGCCGCCATGCTCCTGGCGTGGACACACAAGCACCCCAACAATCTCAAGGTCAGCCAGACGCACCCCTCCTGCCACGGAGATCCCGGGTGCTCTGTGCAGAGCTAGCTGGTTACCAGGCCCAGGGAGGGGGCCGAGGGTTACCATGAGCCCGAGGCAGGGTGGGTAGCAGCCGGATAGGGATCCCGCACCTGGCTGAGTCCCCGCCCCTGTCCCGCTCGCGAGCTCATCGGGCTCCCTCAGAAGGCGAGTTAAGAGGTTGGGGTCTGGGATGGAGTCCCCTGACTCTGTCTTTGTGGGGCACCTGAGGCCACCCTCGGGCCCAGGCTGGGCGTCGGGCCCCCGTCTGGGCAGAGCATGGCTGGCGCTCGGCACCTCCCCCGCCCCTCCCAGACCCCTGGCGGGTTTCACGCCCTCCGGCGTCCCGAGCAAACACAGGCCTGCTGGTTCGATGGGCAGCAGCAGGCACTCCGTCTGGTCCAGGCAGCGGCATCTTGGTGCCCAGAGGAGGTGTCGCTGTCGGGCCGCCCAAGGCCACGTCCCAGTTCGGGGGAGGGGCCTGAGTCCAGGAGTGGGAGGGGGTGTCCTGCTCGTGTGCCCGGCACCTGCCGAGCCCAGAGACTGGACGAGCACCCACTGCAGGCCGCTGTGTGGACAGTCCTGTGTCACAGCCCCTCCCCAGCCTGTCTGGGGTCCGGAGGGCGGTCGATTAGTGCAGTTAGGGCGCAGGCAGCTGCTCAGCCCGCCGTGGATGGGCCATCCTGCGGTGGACCAGGGCCCAGCTGGTTTGGGGGACGTGAGGGAGCCAGCCCCTGGCGTCCCAGAGCGGAGACAGTGCGCTCCTGGGCAGCTGTGGGCGACACAGGGCAGCAGGCGGCCTCGAGTGGCAGCAGACAGTGGCCCTGTCCCCTGCAGGTGGCCTGTGAGAAGACGGTGTCGGCCATGCACCACGTTCTGCAGCGGACCATCAAGTGTGCGAAAGGTACCGCCTGCCGGGCTTGGGGGTGCCCCTGGGGTGCCCGTGGGGTGCCCGTGAGCCTCTGTGTGCCGGGGCCTCGGGCGGAGAGGCGAGGGAGGGAGGCAGCACCGGCTCACAGCGCGGTGGGCGTGACCGCGTGTCCTGCTGCGGACAGGCTCCCCGTGGCCCCCGTCGTCCCCCGTCTGTGGCCTGTGGCTTTCGGCGGTGGGGGCAGTGGTCGGCAGCAGCGTGGCGCTCCCGCCTGAGCCGGGGACTCGGGGCGCAGCCCTGGCCCCGCTTCCTCACTCATGTTCCATCTGTCCGCAGCCCAGGCTGGGGAAGGACAGAGGCCCAGCCCGGCCCAGCTGGAGCTGAGGATGGTCCAGAGCAAGGCGGACATCGAGAACCCAGAGATCGTCGTGCAGGCCACCGTGCTGTGAGGGCCTCGCGTGCCGCCCGACGCCCAGCGCGCCAGCGCCTCCGTCTTCGTCCCTGTGGAAAATATAACGTCTGCCTTAGAGCTGTGGCCGAAACTCGGTATTTTTTTTTTTTCCGTGAGTGTCCGGCATCAACTGGTCTTCATCGTGAAAACGTGCGAGTCGTGCTTTTTAAAAGTCACAAAGCGACCCCAAACTCGTAATTTGGAAGCCCTCACCCCAAGGCTCCTGGG